GTTGAAGTCTTCCTGCCCTCAAAAACCAGAAAAGAACCAGAGTGAAGTTCAAGTAAGTCATACAGAAAATCTTTTTTTAAATAAAGTCCTTAAAAAACAAAACAAAATAAAATGAAATCCGTAGCTGAGGGTCTGACGTAATGAAGCTTTATTCCTATTGGAGAGGTTCAATAACACCCCTGCATTATTACGGCTCTCTGACCTGATTCCTCCTGATGCAGCGTCCCGCTGACGACGGTGCTGCTCAGAAGTTGCCCCCTGGTGGTCTGAACCCTGAAACGCCACAAGGTGACACCACACTGATGGTGATGTTGCTGTCTCCCTCTTGCTTTACCCTCGCACTCCTGGCTCGGTGCACGATAACTGACCCTCATTCCTCCCCGTGTCAAATCTGCAGTGCCATCTTACAGTAACCGTGGAAGGAAATCAAACGTGTAAATCTTCTCTGAGCACTCAGTGGTTCATCAGCTGTCAGTTAAATCCAAAAGCGACCTTGTCGCGCGCTGTAATGCTACATCACAAGATCTGTGACCGGCTGCACGTGATAAAAACACTAATCTGACAATCACAGCCTTCATTTTCTGCCATTAGTGACAAATCACTCTCTGGTCCCTTCTTATCTCTCCTCTTCCTCCTCCCTTCACCCTGTTATGACAGCATGCGGCTTTTCAAAATGTCCTTAATACTCGTTTTCTGAAATTTTTTTAAACATCTGTGCAAATGTGTGCATGCACATCTCCCTGTGGGCAGAGCGTTTACTGTTTTGTGATGCCTCTGCTGGTTTGAGCCGGGCCTGGTTGCCTGTGGAGAAACTGTTGTGCACACTCACATCACATATGTTCTGCAGTCCTGTAGCGTCTCTCCCTTCCTTTTCCTCACTCTCTCAACTGATCTCCCATCTGTCCTCTCCATTTTCTGTCCGGAACATCCCTCGCTGTGTCTTCCACCCGTAGAGAGGACCGTATGTGGGGCCCAGAGGCAGAGGAAGACTCGTCCCAGTCAGGACCTCACCGAGAGGACCCAACGACCTCCAGCACCTGCAGAGCAACAGCTAGAGTCCACTGTGTCCCCAGAGAACTGTGAGTCAACATCATCCATGTTTTCCAGTGCAAAACTTTAAAACTGTCTCTAATTTCTTCCAAGGAGCCAGAAGTTCTTGTCATCTTTGAAAGTGGCTTTGATCTTAAGGGTTTTCCATGTTTTTCCTGGAAATTTGTCCTAAGTTTTCTTTATTTTCTGTCAAGTTCTTGGACCTGACCATTTTGTGCAGTTAGTGTTTTAAAAAAAGAGGACAATGGCAGTGGCGTGTCCAGATCTTTTAAAATGGGGTGGCCCAGTTCAGGCACAACTTTGTGCATGGGTGGCACCAATGGTTATGCTTTTTTGTTTTACCCCCAAGCCTTTAGTGGAAATTGAAAAGCCTATTTAAAGGTTGATTAGTGTGGTGGCACCTGGGGTGGCCAATCAGATTCCAAGGGTGGCATGTGCTACCCCAGGCCACTCCCTGGACACGCCCCTGGACAATGGACAACAGAAGAACCACCTGAATGTAAACTCTTTAGAAAATAGGACGCGCATCATCCTCGAGTGAAACCTGCTGTCTGGAGGGTAACGTCATCAAGGGGAGGAGGAGGGGATCTGGAACGGCTATAGCTTCTGCTCCCCTCCTGGAAAGAGCTGAAAGCAGGGGTGGACTGGCCTATCTGGCATTCTGGCACTGTCCTGGTGGGCCGCTTGCCCAGCTTGGGTCGACACCACTCCACGGTTGGTGATCTGCAGAGCATTAGCTACATGGTAACCTGAAGCTAACAAGAGTTTTTCCAGGCGTTTTTAGCAAGAAAAACACGGTAGAGCGATGACATAGGAGTTGTTTTACTGCGTTAGCATGTAGCTAATATCCCGCTGATCTCCGCCCGTGGAGAATGACCTGATCTGGAAGGCCAGGGCTCCCGGTCACAGCGGTCTGGTCCCGCTTGTAACGATTGGGAACGATTGACTTCTCCCTCTTGTGGACACACAACTTTATTGGTCAACGCTCTGCTCGTGTGACAGGTTCAACAGAGACAAGGGGAGGGGCTTAGGGGAATGTGAATCACGAACGATTTCCTGCTTAATATCATAGAACAGGATCAGAAAGTTACATTTAAGCATTTTCTAAAGCTTGTTTAACATTTTTAAAACTGCGTACCCCAGCTTTAGTGCCAAGTTTTTATCCAAGACCTTTTTGAGAGTGAGTTTGAAGCTCGACGGGCCATTTTTGCACACTTTCAGTGCACTATCCACACGTTTAGCTGTTTTACCTTTATAGTAAAGGTGACTAATCAGGCCTTTTATTGGTATAAAGACACAACACCAACTGGAATTGTTACAAAGAGAAAATGTCAACTGAAACAACATTTTCAAACCCCTTTAAATGAGTTTATGAAGCAGTGATGTTGACTCGAGGCTTTCGCATCATCCAGCTGACAGAATCTCCCTTTCTTAAAGTTTTTGGATCCCGACTCCTTTGCTTACCTTTTGCTCTTGCCTCCTTTCACCATCATTTCCTCAGGTCCTGCCTCTTTCCCCACCGATGTCTTCGAAGATGACATCTCCTCCTCCCCCGTCTCTGAGCACCATAGCTCTCACCAATCCCCGACAATCTCCCCTTTACCAGCTGGACTCCCAGTTGACCAATCATTAAGTGACTGCTCAGCTGCGGGACTGACCCTCAGTCAGAGTCCAAGCCACGCTCAGGTGATTAAAGTGCCCAAACATCTTATTTTAAACTATTATGGTGAATAGAATATTATTAACTGAGGAGTGAGTTCATGATCCGATCTTTGTGTCATAGAGCTGATTTTCTGATTTTCTGCTTTTAGTCTGGTTTGACGTTGCTCCCGGCAACCGTGGGCATCAGACAACCTCCGAGTGTAACGAGGGGTGAATCTAACTCCATGGCAACAACTGGAAGACCAAATGGGATGTATCTGACTTCTCAGGCAACGCCCTTACTGCCAAAGGTAACGAGAGGCTAACGCAGCCTTTCACCGACATTCCCTTTATGTGTAGGATGTTTTATTTGATAAACCATGAAGATCAAACGGTGTGCAGCATTTAAGGAAATGCATTTTCTGGAGATTTTCATCCACAGAAGCGATATTGTAATGAAAGTAAGACTGTGTGCTCCTGCTTGGATCAGGCTAACAGCTGGTGTACAGCTCCAGAGCCTTACGGAGGTCTTTAACCTAACAGGACGGCCACACCTGTGTTTTTATTTAAAAAATATCAACACAACACTGCTGCAAGCTGCTCTGCATTCATTACTGTCCATTTGTACTTGTGGGAGGGCTTGGCGTTTGCCATGCAGGTTAACACATTCCCACACAAGCCGCGTGGGGGGGGGGGGGGGGTGTCAGAACCAGCGCTGCCGTCATCAGGAGATTTGAGAGGCATTTACATGTATTTTTTGAAAGAATTGAACAGGGCAAACAGGCCAAACATTGTAAAATGACTTGACGTTTCCGTTGATGCTCCACATGCTGTTCTCTACGTGCACCGGAAGGACCGCGTCGTGGTTACAGTGTGAGCATGCTGTGTGTTTGCAGACAGCTCGGCCTCCCAGCCCCGCCTGCTCCTCGTCTCTGCCCCCGCCCTTAAACTTTAACCACCTCGCCCACTCGCGGAAACCACGGGACATTAAACCCAAAATGAGAAAGCTCAAATATCATCAGTACATTCCTCCGGACCAGAGGGGAGCGTCTGGAAACGGAGGTGCTGGTAAAACACTCACATTTTCTGCTTTTGTTTGAAAGTAGCTGACTTAAACAAGTCAGCGGGTTGCCCTTGCAGGTGAGCGTTTAACTGGACACTGTTTTTTTTGTTTCAAGTGGGAGGAGCCAAACAGCAGAGCCCCACCCCCACCCAGCCTTTAGACCCGGCCTATTCCCATCTCCTGACACAGCAGCAGGTGTTTCTCCAGTTTCAAATCATGCAGAGCCAACAGCAGCAGCAACTACCACCTCAGCCGCCGCTTCCAGCCGTGTCCAAGTATGCAAACTGCATGAAACGTCAGCTGAGTCGCTGTGATCTGACTTAATCACATCTTCACGTTATCCACAAGCGCTTGGTCTGGGGTTAACAATTCTGTCATTTCTTCAGCGGAGATCACAATGATCTGGTGAAGTCTTCTCGAGCCGCGCCACCCAGTCTCCCCCCCGCCGCGGACATGAGCCCTGCGCCCAAACCTGAGCTTCTTCCAGCCAATCTGGTTGACTTAACGGTAAGAAAAACGTATCCGCTCAGAGATTTTGTAGATGATGCAGATAGAAACTGATGAAACTGTGACTTCCTTCTGCTCCCTCAGGTGTCGGAGTTGCGGCAGCAGCTGCGTAAGCGCGGCCTCCCTGTCTCCGGCACCAAGCCTGCGTTGTTGCAGCGGCTTCGTCCCTTCCAGCTTCCGCACGCTTGTCCCGCCCCTGCTCCCATTTCCGACCCTCCCTGCTCGCTGCTGCAACCAAATCAGAGCCCCGGCTCAAGCTCCAGCTCCGGTCAGGACTCGCCCTGCGGCAGCCCGAACCAACAGCTGTACGTCCATGATGGAGGAATTCCTAATGGGATTCTCAGTGACCCAAACAGAGATCCAAACGGCGCTTTGAACGTCGTCCCGAATGCGTTCACAAATGCTGCATCAGTCAGTTTGGCAGGTGAACAGTGCCATCTCACCGGCACTGTCTTCATGGCTCCCGCCAGCACCGCCTCAGGAACGCCGAGTCCCAGTTTACCCATGTCGTCCTCCTCACCCCTGCAGTGTGGGACTCTCTGGAAAGTGGAAAACGAACAGCTGCAGCAGCAGGAACTAAGCATGGGGCTACAGATGAGGGGACGGAGGAGGAGCAGGCCCTCCTCTATGTACATTAGCAATCAGGTGAGGACAGACCAGTCTTTGACCTTTAAATGTTTGGAAAAACTATTCCTGTGTCCGAGTGACTGATGATCTCACGCCTTCAATCCACCAGTCTGGTGAGGGGTCCATTCATCCGTTCCTGCAACAGGATCTAGGATGCCCTAGGGGGAAGACGGAAGCAAATGCACAAACAGAGGTGCTGTTTACTCAGGTAATCACACTAAAACATACATCAGTCTCCAACACCATTTCCTGTTTCATTTTCCGAGACACACCGAACAGCCTTTTGCTGCGGAGCGTCTCTACTGCTCTTGGGACATGCTTCCATTGCCGGCTGTCAACTAATTTCCCTGTGCTTTCTAATCATGCGGTTTGCTGCCAGCCGTGTGATGTGATTGGCCGTGACTTTGAGCTGCCACTGCAGATTACGGCGAGTCCTGTCCAGACCTCACCTGGCATTCGGAGCTTGGAGGAAGAACTTCAGGAGGCTATCCAGAAGGCACAGGTGAGTCTGCAGCCGGCGGGAAATAAACAAGGAATTCTCTTGCGCAATAATGTGAGGAGCCCTTTGTCTCCCTTGGCAACAGATGGACCCTCGACAGTCCATTGATGACATCCTCAATGAGCCCATAACTTCTGAAGGTGAGTCTCGCACAATGCATCGGGGATTTATCTTTAACAGCACGTGTATTTCTTCCACTGTCTAATCTTTTTTTACTACACTTCTTCCAGGCTCTCTTAATGTCTCTGATCATAAATCCCCTGCCCACTCTGCCCCCAAGCCTCCTTCCCCTCAAACGCAACCGTCTCTTCAGCAGCACGATGACAACTTCCTGCCCTCGCCTCTCTGCTCTTCTCTCTTGCTGGAGCTTCCTCCTTCTCCAGCTGTAATCAACCCAAGCCAGGTTGTCCCCGCTCCTCCTCCTCCTCCTCCAATCTGTATATCCCCTCCTCCGTCCACGAGAAAGTCACGAAAACGACGGGCTCCCACGCTGTTTGACGCCGCCGACTGGCTCGAAACCCTAACGTCTGGCATCTACCCCCTCACCCCGCCTAAAGCTCCCTTTGTTGAGACGGATTTCAGTCTGGATTCTGATCTGAATGTGAATCGAGTGCTGGATCTGTTGATAGAACAGTGGTGAAGGCACGTGCGTTTGTTTTTTTATGTGTAGTAGCTGTTTTACTGATAGTTATGACCGTAGCAAGACGTTTACATTCTTTTAGGGCACAGCTTCCATCTTCAACAGGCTGTCGGAGTCCCCGGCTCCACGCGACGTCGAGGGCAGGTTTCTTTACAGCCGTCCCGTTAGACTTACCCTTAATGGGACAAAAGTGTTTTCTTCCACCAATCAGGTTCCAGTGCTAAACCAGAGCTAGCTTTGCACCACTTATCTGTTTCATTACTAAAAGCAACAAAACAAAACGGTCCTCCAACCACAAACCTGAACGGGTTTGAATCTGCAACCCTCCGATTACACTCCTAACCCCTGAATCCTTTAGTTTATACATTTTTTCATCAACGCCGGTGCCGAGCTGCGCACACGCGCTGATGGAGACGTTTTCCTTTCAGACTTCTCCGTTGCCTGGGGAGTGTTGCAATGACATTCCCCGCCTGGACAACGGAGGGCGTGCTGCTTTTCCTGTGGGGTTCTGTCACCGCTGCGTCCCGTCTCTGCTCTCCAATAGCGCGTTTAAAGCCTTAGTGGCAAATCTGCTAAACGAGCTAGCTTTTAAACACAAACAGCCACAGATCTCTCACCCCTTCCGTCAGCTATCATTACTACAGTAAACGAGAGAGCGCTAACCATCAGTCGCAGTTTTCTAACTTCAAACGTCTTTTGTTTTTCACAACTTCAAATGGTGTTTTTCTTTTTGGGCCTCTGCTAGTTTGTCCTAAAGTGCTGCACGAATGCCCGGTCTACGGATCTGCAGCTGTGCACTATTGTGGAATTCACATGGGGCTTGGCAGCGTTTGATCGAACAGAGATGGCAATGGCGGCATCAACAAGTCAACTCCATGCCCTGATTTTGTTCTGCTTAGTGACTGAACCAGGTTCGATGATTAAAATCATCTGGTTTAGTCGCTGATTTGAAGACAAACACGGCATGGAGATGATTTGTTGATGCCACAGTTTCCATCTCTGTGATTGAATCCGAATGTCTTTATTTCCAAGTTGAAGTAATGGCTCAAAAAATGACATCTCAATCGTGCCAACAATATTGTATTATACATTGTGCCCATCATTGCTCTGGAAGTGGAAAATAGCACGATACAGGGCCTTTAAATGACTATTCACATATGGGTTCAGTTGTTTTCATATCACCATCAGGCATTTGTGCCTTCACGGTGATCCTCTACAGCAGGGGTGCCCAACCCTGGTCCTCGAGGGCCGGTATCCAGCATGTTTTAGTTTTAATTCGGCTTCAACACACCTGATTTCAATCAGCAGGTAATTAATAGGCTTCTGCAGAGCCTGATGAGATGCTACACAGGTGATTCAACCAGTTAATCAAGTGCGTTGGAACAGAAAAACCGCAGGGGTGCCCAATCCTGGTTCTGGAGGGACCAGGATTGGGCACCCCTGCTCTACAGAAACCCAGAGTAAACGTGAATGAATATCAAACATTACCTGAAAGTGATGTTTTAAGCGGTGTAAAGAGATTTGTGGAAAACCAAGTCTTTCTTTTTTTTTGAAGAGCCTGGTAAGAACCAACTATAATACTGGGCCGGTCTAGGACCGGATCCTTTTTGGTGGATAAACCCTTAATAAGAACAAAAACATACCTTTGTGGCCTTCTATTAAGATGCTGCTTTTCAAAAGCACATCATCAATCAATTAAAGAAAAGCTGTTGTTGTGTTTGGTTAACATCCCCGATTGGGCGGGGAGGGATAACAGTTCTAATGAACCTCCGTGAGTCGGAGCCATTCAGAGTGTTTAAAAACCAGACAGAACTCACAGCTTGTGTGTGGCTCCAGACCTTTACCCCGGTGCCAGACGCACAGTGGGCATGCGGTCAGGAAAAAACCTGGCAGAAGCCACAAACAACAGGTGTGTGTGTGTGTGTGTGTTATACCCGTAGATGCATAACTGCACCCTCAAGTCCCATGTCATTAATGCCAAATGCAGTCAAAGAAGCCAAATTCTGAGTAGGATGGCTGATCCAGACCTCATACCAGACATTTATTATCTTTTCTCTGCCAGCAGGTGAAAAACTCTGCTGCTGTTACCAAATATAATCACCAGAACAACCATTCCTGATGTTGTGATTCTCCAAGAGATCAATCACGCATCCACAAGCAAAATTACTTCACAGTCAAATGCACCAATCAGCCGCATGAGAGTTGCCATATTACTCTGAAAAACAACAAAAGAAACAGGTGGTCAATTTGCTCCCTGATTAACCCCCTCCGACAGCGCTGGCCTCGTGCTAGGCTCACCCTGCTGTCACCAAAGCCCGTTTCAGCACAATTCACAACCAAAGCTGAGGCCACACCTGCTCTATTCGTGTAAATCCTTAAACGTGTTACCAGACACTACTGAACCACCGCTGCACACTTCAGAATACAAAAGACCAATATGCAGGTAAGAGCGCCCCCAAGGGGTGGCCAGGGGTGGCCATGACCACCCCTAGAAAAGTGCTGGCCCCCCCCAGGAAAAGTCATACTTAATAAATCATATTAATGTTCAGTCAAAACATATATTGATCGTGTTTATTCAAGATATAATTGTAAAACAAAATAAAAATAATACAATTAATAGGTAAAGAAATAATTAGAATAAAACAACAAATACATATGTTTTCCGCTGCTTACATTTAAAAAAAGTTTTTATCTCCATAGTTTTTGTGAACACAACAACAGGTGAGTTAACCTGAAAAAATAAATTTGTAAATTAAAATTGGAATAACATTTTAAATAACTGAAATGTACTTTTCTGAAATGTTTGTGTTTGTAAAATTCAAGTAAAATGTTTTGGATACGTACTGCTTTTTTATAAATAAAAATGAATAAAGGAGCAACGCAGTACATTGCCACAGGCTAAACTAAATGCAGTGTGTGGCAGAGGTGTGCCACCCCAAAAATTTGTTTGGCCCCATCTGTAACGTAGCTGTTACTTACAAAATGGCCAGATTAATGGTGGTTCTTTCCTCCTGTGGGAAGTTTGTTGAACTTGCAGCCCTTTTCCCTCCGTTTTCTCCACGTCTGGTTCGATGACTTCACTTTCGTGAAGCGCATTTGTACTCCTGGACTTATTTTCACACAAAACCTAAAAAAGTGTTTCCCCCGTTCGAAAATAAGCACGTTCTTGGTATCAAAATGTGTCTTTAAAATTCACGGACTTCATGTGTGAAATCCATGACACAAAGCAAGCGGAAATAGAAAATAGCTTTTTAGCCCAGTTGACTTGCGTTCGTTTTTTCATTCTTCCCGGGACCCATGGCGTGGAAGTAGATGGGCGTGACTTAGGCTCTTTATTTGGTACGAAGGTGGTCCGGATTCCGATGTTCGGACTCCGGACAAACTGCCATTCACACCGACCAAGGTTCATGTGTCTCCAGTTATCTGCTCCCACATGTTTAAAAATACAGCTGTAATAATAATGTGAACTAGGGCTGGGCAATACATCAAAAATGTATTGTTATGGAAACTTCTGACTCTAACCAATACCATTTTGCCCACGCCAAAAAATTCTGTAATAAAAAAGGGAAAGATGTGTGTGGGTTGGCGATGTCCATGTCCCTTTAAGAAGCTGTACCACCTCCAGTCACATGACAACGTGACCCAACGTATTCCATGCCACAGCCCCATCTAGTGGACAACTTTTGTTTTTGCGCACACATGTAGTTATTATCCATTTATTGTTATCGAGGTGAACTCCTCAATATGCCGTAATTTTGATTTTGTCATATCGCCCAGCCCACCTGTGAACTTAAATTACGATCATTAATAATAAAACTAAAGCCAGCAAAAAGAATGGTTTCATTTTCAAAAATACCGAATACAACTTGCTGTTCCACGTCTCACTTCCTGTCCGGCTCATTTCTTTAGGTTCATGACAATCCGTGTGTGGCGTCCCGTAAAAACAGACTCCATGCAGACACGTTCCGGAGCTCCGCATCCGGATCCGTGCTGCAGCCGGTGTGAATCCTCTGATTGGTCTCACTGATGTTTTAACTCTGCAGGAGCCGTACGGAAACTGGGCCACATCCGTACCGCACTGAGTGTGACAAGCGCTTTGATCACCTGTACAGCAGCAAAGCTTCAGCACACAGCTGCAGCTTTATGATGAAGCGGCTCTTGTACAGATTTCACGACAACACAGAAAAATGCAGCTAAATGTGGATGGATCGCTATGATAATCATAACGGTCAATAAGCGTTCCCTGCTGCAGCAAAAAAAAAAAAAAAAGTTTTAAACAGTAAAATTGATAGGCGGGAGAGTAAGATGCTACCTCCTGTTACTTGCACTGCTTTAGGGCTGACACTTATGTTTTCCTCGTTTCTTATTTAATTTCCAAACACTGGAGCAGTTTTCCGTAACACCCTAGAGCCGGTTTAAAGCTGTTATTTAACCGGAGTGTGAAAACACTGAAGGGGTTTTAGGTAACTGTGATTCAGTTTGCCACTTGCTGCTATATTTGACTTTTTGTTTTTGAGAAGACAAAAGAAAATTGTTTGCTTTAATTTATTATGTAACTTATTCATTAAAGAGATTCAGTTTCTGTTCAAAACATGTATTTAAAAGCATTAAAAAATTAAAGTCTTAATAGATTTTCTATGTGCTTCTGCTGGTTTTTCTTTGATCAGTGTGAATTTTAGCTAACAGCTTATTGTCCTGATGAAGTGTGCCGAGACCGATCACTTATTTATCTCAGCTGTTCCAAATGATGTTTTATCAAACATGGATGATCACAAAGTGAATCAAATTTTCATTTGCACCAATGTGCTTCTTAAATTTCTATGAAATCAGATGAACATCGACGAGTTAATCTTCATAATAATGCCGCGCTTTAACTTGAAAGAGCACTGCTTTGGCTAAAGATGAATATGTAGGGTTAAATGTTGTTGCTTTTAAGCTTAATATATTACCTTTACTTATGACCAATAAGCTATAATAATCTATATAAATATAGGATATCAACCTTATTGGTCTTTGAGTGTTTAATCAGAAGATTCTAGGATTCTTTGCTTTTTCAGGGATCAAACAGACTTCATCTCAATTCAGACAATCAGGTTTATAAAGGGTAAGAAATGTATTTTCTAAACAAATTAAAACATGACAAGTTAACCAAGGCTACTGTGATGGATGAACCTAAGTGGGATGGGATGTGATGTGTGGTGACTGAATGGCGTGTGTTCATCAGAACCTTGTATCTAGAAGAACTGAGTTCTGGGTGTGAAAATAATTTAGTTTGCATTAAACTATGAAGTTGGTTCTTATCAAAATGGCATCAGACGCAATCTGTGTGTCTACCTCACCCTTTCTTTGGAGACCCTCTTCGCGGATCCGGAGGTCAGGAAGGTTGGATGACCTCTGGGCACCAAGGTTCAGTAGATTAACCACAGCACCGATGCTCCAGTCCAGAGATGTCGCCAGGCACACAGGTTGGAACTAGTTTGCGTCTAGAGCAGCTGTTTCCGAACAGCTGAAGGAACGTTTTGCTGTGTCCGTTGTAGGCAGCTTTTAGCTTGTCGAAAGCTTGTCAAGAGAGGCGGTGGCTAGAGAGTTTTCCCCCCGGTGGCCAGTCCCGAGTTCTGCTCAAACTAACAGAATGCTGAATCACTCCTCAAGTGATCCCGTTTTAATATTCTCATATTATGATTTACTTGGCCAATCGGGACATGCCATGTTAAGAGGTGTTAGCAAACAACCCTCAAAACATCACGCCTTCTCAGATACAGGATGCTCTGATTTGTGGGTAAGAAAATATCTATGTGCAGTGACTAGGGATGGGTACCTTTGGCATTTGAATCGATTCGGTACTAATTCCCGGTACCTAGGAATCAATACCTGTACTTAACGGTACCAATGTTACTTTTGAGTGTTTATTATTTTAATTCTCTTTTATAATTAAATATATATTTTTCTCAATTCATAACCATATTTGATAAATATCACGATAAATAACATACAACTGTTTGTATTTTAACATCGTCCTTGTAGTTTTATAAGCTGATAATTAAACTGAAGCAAACATCTTTACTGTGAACTAAATTTACTGTGTATCCTCATTCCTTTTGCCGTCCTTTTTCATTGATTTTTCCTACTGCGAAGTTAGAATTTCCGAGGAGAAAGCGAACGCACCATTAGCTGATAACAATGGTGGCAATGGAAGCTAATTCATCAAGCTAACGTTATCTTAAACAGTTTATTTAGCTGCTGGAGCAGATTAAAACGATGATGCCTCACACCTAGATCGTTGTCGCTGGTTTCATCTTCACCCAATCACCCGTCGCATTTAGTAAAATGAAGCCAAACTTTAGAGCGCGTTCATGTTCTTCTAGTCGGAAAATCGGAGTTCCGAGGAGAAAGCGAACGCACCATTAGTGGAACGGAAGCTAACATATCAAGCTAACGTTATCTTACACATTTTATTTACCTACCGGAGCAGATTAAGATGAGGATGTCTCACTTAGATCGTTGTCGCTGGTTTCATCATCACCCAGTTACCCATCACATTTAGTGAAGTGGACCCAAGCTTTAGCGTGTGTTCTTTCTACCATGCTGCTCTGTTTACAACTGGCTCGCAGCGAGCGACGACATAACACTCTTGCGCATGTGCAGCTGTCTAGGCAAGTTCTCGTTATGAAGGACGGGTACCGAAACGAGGCACCGCTTCAAATGACGTGAATCGGTGCTCAGTCGGTGCTATGGAATTCGGTCGGTACCTTAAAAAGTACCGAATTCGGTACCCATCGCTAGCAGTGACGTTACTTTAACTTTAATTTATCTCTAATGAACATTGTATCTTAGTGTAGATAATGATTCACGTGTTAAAACAAACATTACTGATCATAACATCAAAATGTGTCATTGTATTAAAATTCATTTCAATTTCATTGAATTAGGCACAGATTAATCAAACATCAATATTATTATTCATATAACATTTATCCATTCAACCATATTATTATTTAATGATTATTCAACTTATGATTAGTAAAAGTTCATCTTTTGTCCTGTGAAGCAAGCGGATAGATAAGGCCGCAGCTTGGCAGAGAGGAACCTTGAGGGAGGAACATGATGTTGACAATCAGAGTGTAAACACGCAGTGGCGAATCTTTTCTGCAGCTTGGAAGATTAAGAGAAGCAGAGAGGCAAATTCGTGTTTGTAGATGACCGGTCACCGAAAAGGTCAATATGTAGGTGAAAACTGACCATTTCTGGATGTTACAAATAAAACTCACTTTTAATGAGTAATCACTGATTTTATTAGTTTTATGCCTTTAAAAGTATGTTGTGTGTGTTTCAGAACACACCCCTGAAACACAATGAAGATTAAAACAATCTTTGTAAATGAGAAGCTGTTCAGGTTTGTGGATCTGTGAAAACACTGCTTTAATAGACCTGTTAAAGCAACATTGTTATCCTCAATTGCTTTGAGTTCAATTTAAATATTCATCTTTTGTTATTGGATCTTGTGGATTTAAGTTTAACACAATGAGGCGTTTCAGATTTCAGGCTCTGCAAAATAGCAAATAATACAGTCATGGGAATAAAACAAACACATAAAACTAAACTCATCATTCTTAAAGTAACACTAAATAGCTTTATAACCCTCCCACTGTCCTAATGGGTGACCCCGCAAGGAAAGTTGACCATTGAGCAGGGTTGATGGTTTATCCCTTGGGTCCACGTGGCAGGGGTGAGGAGTGAGCACCACCTCACCTCTGCCACGTGGACCTCAAGGGATAAACCATCAATGTATGGCGTCAGATGGGTGCCAAAACCAGTGCACGCGTATTGCGCGCGCACGGGTCCACATCGCGCGTGCGAATGGGACTCGCGCGTGGAATTTAGAACCTCTCGAGTGAAAATATTCATGGCGAGAGGTCATTTGTACACTGAGAGGGAGAAAACTGTGTCTGTGAGCGCAGTCATAACCGTAAAAGATATCACTGGAATAATAAAAAATATAACCTTATATGAAATATGTTGTCCTTGCCTGAATTGGAACCCGGATCCTCCAAGTGAAAGTAATTGACTATACCAGATGAGCTGTGACAGCACTTGCTAAAATCTGAATCAGATTTGTTCTTCAGATACCCCCATTGTGCTCTGAGAGCCAATGAGGTAGAAGGTAATGAGGCCAATGAGGTAGAAGGTAAGGAGCAGAAAAAAAACTTACCAATCAGAGGACAGAAAAGGTCAGCCACAGGCCACTCCTCCAGAGTGTCAAAACTCCCTACAGCCAAGCGAGCAGAATCAGAAACCGAGCGCACAGAAAGGCTGCCGCGGCCGCAGTGAGGCTGCCGCGCGCATGTTTTCCTCTGCCGAGTGCTCGTTGGCCAATGCATGCATGCAAGTTTGTCACTTGGGCACATCCTTGTGCGCTCACAGGCACAGTTTGGTCCCTCTCAGTGTGTACAAATTACCTCTCGCCATGTATATTTTCACTCGAGAGGTTCTAACTTCCACGCGCGAGTCCCGTTCGCACGTGCAATGTGGACCCGTGCACGCGTATTCTGTGTGCACGGGTTTTGGCACCCATCTGATGCCATATAAACCCTGCTCAATGGTCAGCTTTCCTCGCGGGGTCACCCATAAAGACAGTGGGAGGGTTAAGCTAAAGCGTTAACATGCGTTAACATTGATCTCTGTGATTATTGAGATAAAAACGTGACCAGTTTGATATTTGACACCACTCTGCAGCCATCTGCTGACCAGATACTGCAATTAAAAGCTTTGTGGAGAATGTAGGTGTTCTGGGGGCGCGCTCATACCTGCATTACGGCTGTGAGCTATTTTCTGTGCAGTTAGCGTTTTCAGATTGCTGATCATCAATAAAAAGCACAAGAAGAAGAAAATGAGGAGTTTGCTTTTCTGTTGGCATCACGGCGGAGCCTGGAAGTCAAAGTAAGAGAGTTTTTGGAGGTGGAGCAAAGAGCTAAAACCAGGGTGAACATCGGCGCGGTCTATGCCAGCTTGAGGGAGCTAAAGGAGGCTATAAAATCATGGACTGATGATGACCTGGCTTTGTTGCTACTGGACTTGTAAGTAATAACATTTTTGTCCAACAGTGTGGATCTTTTTACTTCGTGGTTTATTTAGTAAGACTTGGATCATGTTAGTATTAAAGTCCCTACAGTTGTAACACACTGATGTGTGTGCAAAATTTGTTCTCCGCATTTGACCCATCCCCTGGGGGAGCGGTGAGCTGGTGGTTTAACCCCCAATCCAACCCTTTAATGCTGAGTGTCAAGCAGGGAGGCATTGGGTCCCATTTAGTTAAAGTCTTTGGTATGACCCGACCAGGAATCGAACCTTCTTCTCCCAGTCTCAGTACCACTAGGCCACTGAGCTGGTGTTAGCTCGGTGTTAGAGCTAGCTACGACAGTTGTAATTCCATTTTCAACCAGTAGGGCGGACGAACAGGAAACTGCTCTGTGTGACTTTAAAGGATTTCTAAAAAATCCTACATAATTCCTGAAGGTAGAAAAACTCTTGATTGCTGCTTTAACAACAATCAAACCAAAACAATTAAACAAACAAAACAAACTTTCATATATGCTCAATTAAAACCAAAATACCAACCTCCTGTTGGGTAAAACAGTG